CGGGAGTTGTTGCGTGCTGGAAGATGGGGGAGAGCTAGGAGGAAGGGTGATGTCCAGTGCTGTGGTGAGTAAATGACACATGGAAAGGGCAGCACCCGGGGGTGCTGGGAAATGAGCTGACCATTCCCTTTGTCCATGAGAGCAGCTGGAGGGCAGGCGGACAGAGATCACCCACCTGGCAGTGGTCCTCAGGGGTCTGCAACTTGAGAGGGAAACAAGAGGCAGCTTTGGGGAGCCATGAGCATGGAGGGGACTGGAGGCTGCAGGGTGGGGATTCCCTAAAGACAAGTAAACACTGAGAAAAGAGGGAACCCTCCAGAGTGCTGAGCCCATCAACAGCGTGTGCTCAGAGGGATGGCTGGAAAACCAGAGAGTGTCTTCATGTTCTCCCAAAGAGAAGAAGAAAAAAAAAGAACAAACAAAACCCCTTAAGATTTCTCAATTCTTATTAACTTGGGCAAAAATGTTTTTGAGAATGAATGCAAATGACTCCTTTGAACATCAAGATATGCAGGCTGTGTGACAGAAAATGCTTTTGAAGGGGACAGTGTTTAGGCTTCGGCATCTATAGTTACTTTGCTATCTTCTGTTGTAGCGTGACCAATCCTATCAGAAATGCTAAAAATATGTAGAAGGCTAGAATCAAATCTTATGTACGACTCATGAAAGTACTATGAGACCAAAAGACATCAGTCACATAAATTATTCAGTCCCCAGTTTTACACAAGAACAAGCATCTCCTTTTCCTCGCTGGAAAGTTAACATATTTATAAAGGGGAATGTTAAAATATATATGCCATCCCAGTATAAGTGTCAATAAGGAAAACCGCTAAAAATTATGAACTACCTTCCCCGTAAAGGTATTTGTATTTGGAAGATATTTATAAGAAAGTGAAATTGCTATGAATGTCTCCAAAAATGCCATTAGTCTTTTACAATGTTAGCATTTCTAAAACTTTTTTTCTAAACTGAGATATACTTATTTACAGGAAATTTCTTCAGAGAGTTATAAATCTCCCATGCATATAACTTGAAATTCAGATAAAAGCTATTTCTAAATTATTTCCAAAATGAATACTAAATAGCATTTTTACAGGTGAATAATTTTTAAATATGATTCTATATATCATATGGTATTTTCCTGACAAAATAATTGAGATATAATTGATTCAAAATCTATTAATATAAATCTGTTAGTTGTCTTCTTAGTCTGAATTGAAGAACCATAGTTTGGTTTTGGTGTCGTATATTCCACCAGAAAAGCCCCTTCTGCTTCTGTATGTTAGTGCTTTGCTTCGAGTTCTTGGTTGATGGATCTGCCCCCTCAGTCCCTTTGGTACCCTGTGGGGCACCAAGCACAGAGGGCAAGAGGGCAAGCAAACTGTCCTCGTGGCTGGGAGCTTACATTCTGGTAACCCTGCTGAACAGGGCTGATGGAGCAGAATGGAGAAGACACACGAGATCTTCATCTCTCCCTGGTACATAAATGTATAAGGAATTAGAAAATACTGAGCTGATGGCTAGTCATTTTTGAAAGAAGCAGAGGATAAAGTGACATTGGTTTTTAAAGCTGCCTCATTTGAACACTATACATGGCCATTGCCGGAAACCCTGCATCGGATATCATCTGTACAAATCTCACAACGGGATCAATGACCAGGACACACACCAAGTGGTGCTCAACACGTGTCTCCCACATTTGCCATCATCACTCCCCAGAACCCCCGAGCTATGTAAAAATCCCCCTTTTAACAGAGGTGGACGGTTCACATTGATAGAAGATCCTGAGCCAGACTCCCCGGAAGGAGGATTAGGGAGGTTTGTTGGGTCCGCTCAAACCCTGTTCAGAGCTTGTGAGCAGGCGTGTTCCTCAGAACAAACCCAGCAAAATATGGGTCAGGAAGAATCGGTCACATCGAGACACGTTCAATATGCAGAATCAAAGATCCCAGTAGACATGTTACAAGAAAGTCATATAAAAGCATCTTTGTTTCTCTTCTGCCACAGATGGGTTTCATGTGAAAATAATCATAAATTAACTTCCTTTCATTCCTCTCTATTAAGCTTCAGGAGGCTTTCAGAAGTCACTAATTCTTTTGAAACAGAGCAGTGTTTTAAAACATTCCAACCTAGACTGGTTCTTTCCTATCTTCCCTGCTAATTACAATAAACCCAAGAAGAACTCTGAAGTTTAGCCCAGACCCAGGGTTTCCCAGCCCATCTTAAGGACAGAAGATGGCTTGTTTTGAGGCATCCCTCCCACATTCCAGACGTGTCCCTCAGACAAGATCAGGTGAGTCCAGCACCACGATCCACTAACACAAAGTGCCAAGGCAAGCACTCTTTTCCCACTGAGCTGAGATCCCCTCCCTGATGAGAGTCAAGGGTAGCTGGGAGGGGGGCCCCTGTAAGAGGGAGCATACCTCAATGGGCCCCTAGCCCCAAAAGTCTTTTGTCCCTGCAGAGACCCCCCTACCTTATCTTAAGACACAGGGTAGTCTGGCTTGGGAAAACCTCTTCTTCCACCCCTTTGGGGACACTGGAAGAAGCACTGAGGACCCCAGGAGCACCAGATGGGCCACGTAGACCAAAACAATCCCACGAAGCGTCTGAAAATTAAACTACTACTGGAACTACAACCTACTGAAGAAGACCAGGTCTGCATATCAAACGTAAACAGGAGGACTAAACTAGAATATTTATTCAGAACTGAGAATCTCTGAACAAAATAGCTGAAGTGTCCAAAAATAAAATTAAAAATCACTTGTCATACCAAGATCAGGAAATCACAACTTGAATGAGAAAAGATGAAGAACTGACAGCAAGATGAATCATGCCACAATCATCTGATGATGAAGGTAAGCAGATCTCATGAGAATGCTTCAACAAGCAACTACAAATCCTCTTGAAACAAATGAAAAAAGAGGAGATTCCATCAAAGGCATAGAAGGTACAATACAAACCAAATGGAAATCATAGAACCAAAAAATACAATAACAAGTAAAATACACCAAGTCCTACCAAATATATTTCATTTGACCTGCAACCAAATCAAACAAAAACCACACACTGCCTTCTGAAAAAAAAATTATTTAAATGTCTAATAACAGCTGTAGTGACGTATTCAGTCCAAGGCATGTCTGTTTTTTTTTTTTTAAATACTTTATTTATGTATTTGATAGAGAGAGAATGAGCACAAGCAGGAGACAGGGCAGAGGGAGAGGGAGAAGCAGACTCCCTGCTGAGCAGGAGACTGATGTGGGGCTCCATCCCAGGAACAAGGATCATGACCTGAGCCAAAGGCAGAAACTTAACCCACTGAACCATCCAGGCACCCCCCCAAGGAATGTCTTTAAAAAAACTTGTTAAAAATAGTCCTATTCTCCCATTAGCTTATGAAAGTGGTTAAAGGGAACCAATTTGGTATTCTTTGAAATGAACCCAATCTTAACTCTAAAAGTCCAATCAGAAAAATGGAAAAAAATGGGTAAAATGAAAGCCTTAATTAATTTAACTGTAGTAAGCAGCATTCTGTCACATTTTACCAAGCTCTCACTCACTTGCAGATGTAGCTCCTTCCAGAGGGATCCCTGACTACGAGGAGCACGTTCTGATAACTCACTAGTTACCATTTCTTCTGCATGGGCCAACAGGTTGTATTCAAGGAAGCCAAACTTGCTTCTGTGTTTGCTTCTGTACTTTTTACTAAAGACAAAACCTGACACCCAGTGTCTTCCAGTGTGCTATGGTACTAGAAATGCAGCACTGATGTGTTCATGGTGCACGGGGATTATTGACCCCCCACTACTCCCATGATCTACTGGGGGGACCTGGGACCCCTAACCCCTAGGACAAGTGACTCCAGCTATCTGCAGTCTCCTCCCCTTGAACCATCCATTTACTTACACAAACATTCATTTGCTAAACACAGAGTTTGGTGTACTTAATAAAGAGCCTGTTGGAAATATTTATTAACAAATGATACTTTTCATAAAGGAAATGTTGCCAAAGCAGATAATGTTTTGATTATTTTGAAAGACATCCCCTAAGCAATGTGCTTTCTCTACATTGCGTGAAATGCAAATGGCATCCATTATTTTAACAACAGCCATGCTCAGATTTTATGATGGATATTTTGCATACCCATTAGTACCTAAGGGACTTGACTAAGTCTCTTAGGTAAGTCAAGTCTCTTGACTCTTGACAAGTCTCTTGACTTACTCATAGCAAGTCAAGTCTTACTAGAACCTAAGGGGCATGACCTGTTACCTTAGACCAATGTTTGAGAATCAACAAGTTTAACCTAAATCTCCATATTTATTTAACAATGAATTCTCTTCCAAAACAGAACTACTCAGGCTTTCTCCAACACAAAATATTGTGTATTGTATAAATAGATTTCAAAATTAATTATTATGAACACTATAGTCACATTCACCCACATAAAATCATTTAAAAGTCATTTTGTTTCTTCCGGATGATGTCATGGTAGCTGGTGAGAAAGTAATTTGTACAATAGTAACTCAAGTTGTATCAGCTATGACCAAAAATCTATTCACAGAAAAAAAATCTGCTCTTCATTCTTCATTCTTTAAGATGAAATATAATTTATAGTGAAAAATTAAAACATGAAATGGAATTCTGCTTTACTTCTACAAACTATAGAGAACAAATGGAATTACTAACAATTCACGAAAATATGAACTACATAAGGACTATGTAATGTTAAGAAAATAATAAGCCCATCCTATGAAAATGTTTTTGATTTTGTCTTATCTCTCCAACAATTTTGATGACATAATGCAGAATCCCAAGGACGGTATGTTTTATGCATCCTTCCAAAAGATGATGCTTTCTTTCAACCATAAAAATGATGGCAACATGGGATGCCATTGAAAACCCAGTTTCATCCTGACTGTACACAATTTAAAAATTTAAAAATTTAAATGATGTATTCATTATAGAATGATTAAAAAAAATAATTTAGGAGATCACTTTACCTGGCCATACTTTGCTGCCAAATGGAGTGGGGTCCAGTACTGATTATCTGCGATATTCAGGTCCCCGCCATGCTCCAGGAGAAGGGCCACCACCTCCTTATAGCCACTGGCACATGCCATATGTAACTGCAGTGAGGAAATATTTTGTTATAGAACTTTAAAAAATAAGTAGTGACATCAAAACTGTTTATTTAGTGGTTTAAAGAGAGCTAATAAATTATCAAATATAAAATACCTTTAAAAATAAGAACATAGCTGCAGTTTTACTTATTTGATATAAGTGGACAGTATCCTTCTTGGAACAAAGGCTTATGGCTTAATTATTATTTCCCTTCTGACCCAGACAACGTGCGATTTTTCATGCAATTCCCATTTCCCTCTTTAGTGTCCTCTGTACCATAATCTGAGCACTTTTGTATACAAAATCCAATAATTGAACGCTTTTCCCTCTTCTCACCCAAAAAGTCAAACACGCAGTGACCGGCCCTGAAATTCTAGCCCTGTAATTGTGCAACCAGAGGAGATTTGAGGACATATATGACAACAGGAAATGTGATCATCTTGGTGCTTAGGAACAGGAAAAAGGGGCCGACACACTGGAAAGGACGGGTTAATCCCAACAGACCTTAAAATGATTATGTAGTTCTCCTTTGAGCATGCTCCCAGGTTAGCTTATGAATGCAAACTTAGCTCAGGAAGGAGGACTCAGGCTACAACCAGGAGGTCGGGTTTAGAGAACGATTCAGACTTTTCGGGTGGGGTAATTCCCGCTTCCAGCACAGCAGCCTTGATTTGTAGGTGAACTGTCATCATGCCCTATTTAAACTGGGTTCTTAAGTAACTACGTGCTTGATTTCATGAGCATAATAATATGAAACTATATGGAAGCAGAAAGAAAAACAATATAAAAGTAGTAAGACCAATGATTTCTTCTTGGTCTTGTAGCATGGAGTTTTGTACCTTTCCGTCTGTTTTTATTAAAAAGATAAAATTACAATAAAGTCAAAAGACTTATTAAATGTGTGTACATATATATTAATAAAATCCAGCAAAAATATTTGCTTTTCTACCCTTGGACTTCATTGTGCTCTTTCATGTACACCGTGTACGTACATGCTTATTTCTCCTAGTTAATTGCAACAAAAGAACAAATATATTTAACCAATTTAAGGTATAAACAGGAAGAGATTAAGTTTCACATCACTCTTCCCATACTTGGTTATACATAGAATTTACCTCATCAATATTTTAGCAAACAGTCCCAAGAACAAACTATCCACAAGTATTTCAGAGAAGGATTTTATATACTCGTTCTCCTGGAAAACCAGTCTTACACCTGCTCCGCAATTGAGTCTACATCACACTAATAATCAGTTGACTCAAAGTTTCCTGTGAAGTATGAGCACGAACATCGGGATCTGAGAAGGTTTTCACTGTCCGTTTGTTGGTTAGCACCTGAGCCTAACGAAGTCAAGTTCACTTGTCATTAAGGATGAACTCCTTAATGAGAAGATTTGCTTTCCACGGGGCAAAAATTGGGTTCTCCCATTCCAAACTCAGCCCAGCTGCTAGCCGACCATCTCAGGCACTGCTTTCGAGGAAAAGACCGGAAGGAAAGTCTTGGCTCACTTGGGAGAAAAGCTATCAAAAGCACGAGCTCCCAGTGACATCTCTGAAGGCAGACAAATTTAATCCAAGACCATTTCAAAATGAAGGCAAAAACTCCTGACTTTGAGTATTTCTATTTCCTTACAAGAGACAACAGAGTTTTAAAAATTCATCATAGTAAATCAGTAAGAGCTTAGAGGCTCTACCCTGATTCTACCGGCAATCAAATTCTGAATCCATAAGCGAGCCTCCAGACCTCCCCACCAAGGGGACAATTCTCATCACTAAGTTAAATGTCTATTTTATAGACCTTGTCTATTTAGTAGACATTAAAATGTCTATTTTCTGAAATGGACGTTGCCTCCCTCCCTTGTCCTGACAATTGCTGGAAGATGTCAGGTGCCAAAATGTGAATGTGTCTATCCCTATAGCATCTCAGAATACTCCTCTCCTGCTACGTTATGGGGTCTTGGGAGAAAGACAGAGACAGCTGTTTTTTCTGTAAATGATGAGCAGCAGCTGCTTGGAAGGACAATTGCAAAAGGACAGTCCTGGGAAATTATGGCAGGTTGGAAATCACCCACGCAGTTACAACGCAGGACAAGGTTTCAGAGCCGCTTCACAAACGCTGCTCATAAAAGTTATCAGTTATTCCTTCTCCTCTGTAAGACCCGTGAGGCAATGATCTTTGTCCTGGTATTGCAGAGGCAAAGCTGGGGATGAGTTAATTTAGGCGACCAGCCCAGGGGAGCACAGCCCCTGTAAGCTGAAGCCACGTTTTTCTGTGTTCTGCAGCATGGGCGCTCTGAAAAGACAAAGGGGCATGAGCACCCGAGTCGGCCAGGCCACCAGGGTAACAGCCACGATTCACAGTGCTCCTAACAACCACAATTCGTCAGTGCTCCTAACAATCCTTGTGTGCGTCCCATAATGTATTGGTCTAAAAATGGCATTTTTCTTCTTCCCGTACACCCCCTTCCCCAACATCCTTATCTTGTATTAAAATGTTTGTCTCTGAAAGATGCCCACCATTTACACACTTGCCTCAGCTCTCCCCCAGCCCACCACCTGTGCAGGCACAGATGTGCATTAAGCGTGGCATGTAGCCTCCTCACACTGATCAAAACCAACGCCAGGTCCTGTGCCGCTCAGCAATGAAGACACAGGAGACTGAGACCCCACTTAGAAGTCCGCAGGAGTGCAGTCGTCTCTGAAACAGCCTCCTCCTCGTGCAGGTGGTGTGTGGGGCTGGGGTCAAGACTGAGAGAATGACCAACCAACAAGAGCCACCCTGGGCAGTGAGGGCGCTCTGCCTGAGGACTGTGCTGTCTCCTCAGCGCGATGTGCTTCTCTCGACTGATTGTTCTCCAGGACAGCACAGCGCACAGCCCTGCATTATCATCCCCCTGACCAACTCCTCATTACTGGGCTTTTACACATGTGCCGTATTTTTTATTTTATAGAAGATCACTTTGTTGGTAATCACTGTATTTGTGTCTGATTATGTGTTTCTGACACATTCCCAGATATAGAATTGCAATCCTAAAATAATGAACATTTTTTCAATATATTTGCCTACGCTGAGTTCCACAATGTTGGTGCAATCCCCATCCCCTCCAGTGGTGTGTGGAGGGGCTCTTTCTCATAGACCCTTGGCCTTTAGGGCTTCACTATTATGTATTTCTAAAATGACTATAAATAAATTCAATGTACTGCATTCCTAAAAATGGGTCTCTTTTGATATATCTGTAGGGTAGTTGTATTTTCTTTTGGGTACTGACTCTCACTGCTATTTGTTTTCCTACTGAGAGATGATCTTTTCCTTCATTTCTATGAATGCTGCATATTTTAAAACTATCAACATTTTGAAAGACCTGTCCCAAGTATTATATTCCTAGTTTATTATCTGCCTCTTAATTTTGCTCATTATTTAATGCACAAGTGTTCATTTTAATTTTGTCATAGTCAATGATCTCAGCATTTCCCCCTGTGCTTTCTCTCCCATTTCGATATTGGAAGGGCTTTCACCACCCAGACATAACTCCTTTTTACTGTGTAACATGGAAACTGGGGGTTCATTGTTATTTACTCAGTCTTCTATTTGTGAATCTCATTTAAAAAAGGAAATCTGTGTGTGAAATTTAAAATATATTCCCATTGAATGTCCTCTTATTCGAGGTCTGTGACTCTTCCCACTCTAGAGCAGGCAGGCCACTAGGAGGCTAATGTAAAATTTTGATGAAAATTACCTTAGAAATAAATGAAAATTAATCTTGAGGGATAGCTATTCAAGCAGCTGAAGGAATTAGTCCAGATTTTGAATGAATAATGGCAAATTTTCTCCAGTTCTAGCTTTCTATCAGAATATTAACAGAAGGGGGAGACTGGGTGGCTCAGTCATTAAGCATCTGCCTTCAGCTCAGGTCACGATCCCCAGGGTCCTGGGATGGAGCCCCACATTGTGCTCCCTGTTTGGTGGGAAGCCTGCTTCTCCCTCTCCCACTCTCCCTGCTTGTGCTTCCTCTCTCGCTCTTTCTCTGTCAAATAAATAAAATCTCTAAAAAAATATTAACAGAGGGTTTTTTCCTACTGTAGTTTTGACTGCGTAAGAAAATAATATGTATCACATCTCAAAGTGAGACCAAATATGGACATCTGAAAATAGTTGACAAAAAACTGCCCAATTACATTTTTAATGTTTTATCTCTACACCTGCACCCAGTGTGGGGTTCGAACTCACAACCCCAAGATCAAAGCCACACACTCTACTGACTGAGCCAGCCAGGTGCCCCGGCCTAGATTTCCTTTGACCTCTACCTCTAGACAGAGGGTATAGTAGGTCTAAATGAGAGAAAAATGGAGACAGGACACATGAGAAATTTTTGTGTGGTGGCAGGGCCTGGGTCCCTCCTTAAATCATGTCGGCAGAGCTTGGCTTCAGTGGTCACCGACAGAGGCCATGTGTCCTCGGGAGTCTGGCGGAGACACAGTTACTGGTTTCGATTCCTGACTAGAAAAAGTAAAGGGCAAGAGACAGGCTGGCTCTCTGCTTTCGTGGGCAGCGAAGGGGAGTCACAGATATGGTGGCGTCTGCCCACACTCATGAGGTCACACCGGCAAAGACAAACACAGGGAGGACAGCCATGTTTGTTTTCCGTTCTGTTTCAGGGAGATGCCTGGAAGAGCATGTGCGGACCAGTAGAGACAGGCTGGGGTACCCCTGACTCCCCAGAGCGGAGGCAGGTGTGAAGGACCCTCTGGAGATCCCAGTGATGGGGGTGACGTATCTGAAGAACCCCCACATCCTCACAAGGGAAGGGGTCAGCTTCTTGCCCAGAGAGCAGGACACCCTATCAGGGAACCTCAAGCCAAAACCTTCCAGCTCCCAGTGTATCTCCTCCTGCTCATCTGTCCACTCCCATCCTCTCCCTCCACGTCACTGACACGGAAGAGGAGACGGTGATGAGAGGGGAAACAGATGACCATGGCCACCCTCCCTTCCATGGACTCCCTAATCTGATGCAACACGACACCAGCAGTGGGTTCAAGATTTCACTGAGATCAGGGTTCTCAACACTTGTGCCCACCGGACCCCACAGGATCTCAGGGAGATTCAGGGGCTTTGCAAACTTGGATGGGAAAATGGTTTGTTTTACTTTTTTTTTTCTAACCCCAAATGAAATTTAGCAACTTCTTGAATGGTGAGTCTAGGCTACACACCTATGATGCTATCATTGAAAGCGATATGTCCCTACACATTGCTGTCCCAGCAGACATCTCCAAGTATCCCCCATATTCAAATCTACCCTAACATCCTGGCAATGATTATCCATCACTCAGTGCCTTCATAAAGAAGCACATGCGTAACATATCACAAATTTAATTTTGATAGTAGGATTATGATGTTTCCATGTAACTGGCATTCTCTGTAGTATAGGCACCATCTTTATTACATTAAACACAATTCTGACAAGGAATCCACAGCTACACTGAGGTTTAGAGGATAACATGGCATAAAAAAGATCAGTGAACCCTGATTTCACACAAGCTGGGACTTTTCGTGGTTATATAGGACCAGGCACTCTAATCTCTAAACTGAGGCTATGGTTTGTAATATAAAGTAACCACAAAAATTCTATTCCCTAAAAATGGCCAGAAAGCTGATGGCAATGGCTAAGTCTTCATCCAGAAGTAAGGGTAAACCAGCGCTACTGAAAAGACAAAGGAAGACAAAAATAAAATTGCTTGATGTTTGCATCTCATGAATAATTCTTTTCCAACAAACCCAGTGAATATGTCCCAAGGCCAGATGTTATATATCAAAATCTGTGACAAAAGAGAAAAGAACCGGCATCTTCCTAATGGATCTGAAAGTCATTATAGTCAAATTTTCAAAGAGCATCTATGCACTTGAACTCAGGAATGCATTTCCATATGCTTGTAATGATTTTTTTTTTTTTTTTGGAATTGTGTCCTTTTTGGAGGCTTTGTTTTCTTCTAAGAAGAATTATCTGTGTAAACTAAGAGATTTTTTTCAAAGAGCAACATTATGTTTGGTTACTTTATTGCATATTCTAACAGAGGAGAAAAAGGCACCATACTAGAAGTGTAGCAGCATTGCATCTTTTCTTGATAGTTTTACCTTTTATGCACAACGTAAATGTGGGAAATGATGCCTAATTTTAAGCCACAACAGGCATCCTTACTCAGGATACAGAAATCTGTGGACGAGTGCCTTCTCACGGTTCCCACCAACAACAGAGAGGAACGCAGGGTCCAGAGGCCAGCATGGGGTGGCAGTCATTAACATGATAGACTAACCAATTCAGACATAAGAATCAATCTACTAACCAATTCAGACATAAGAAATCAATCTCACCCTCCACTTGCTCAATGCTGCGAGCCATCTTCGAGGGACAACTTCCTAGCCTCCCAGCCACCATTACTTCCCTCATGAAAAGCTCAGAGATGATTGTTTAGTTATTACACAACAAATTGTTTGCAACATTTATGCTCTCTGCTCAATTAAAAAAAGTCACAAAGAATGTCAAAATTGAAGATGGCTGAACAGGACAGCAATGTATTGCTCTATATTGATTCTTGCAACAGCTTTACTACTGAAGTAGGTGGGTCCTTCTGTTCAGTGGTATTTGAAACACAAATGCCATTTTAATTTAGCAGAGATTTTTTTTTTTTTTTAAAGAAATCTAAAGCTGTAATGTCTTGTGCCATACAGAGAAGCAAAGATCTATTGGGTTTCTGAGTTAGGCATCAGTGCATGCCATGTTTTCAAAGAACCATTACCCGCTCCAGTCTGGATCTCGAGGCTTGCACTCCAATGAAAGTGCCCTAGCTGAGAAGACCAGTGACCTCCATGCTACTAAGTCCAATGGCCAAGTCACCATCTCCAGTCACTTGGTCTCTCGGTGGTATCGAACAGTTCACAGCTTCCTCCCCCTCCTCATCATACTTCCTTTCTTTGGCTCCTGTGACGTCTCATTCTTTTGGTTTTCCTCCTACCTTGGGAGCTCCTCCTTGCTCCCCCACCCTCCATGCCCCTCGCCCTAGTTCTCATTTCTGGATCTTTCTCTTCTTCCTAAGATCCATGGCTCAGTCCCAAATTCTCTTTCCTTCTGTATCAAATATTTGATTTCACCCATGGTCAAGGCTTTCAGTGTCATGTTTCTATGCTAGTGTTCCCCAAATTGAGTCTGCAGTCCAGACAGCTCCTGAATTCCAGATTCTAGCAAGCAACCACAAACCCAACACCTCCATGAAGATGGCTCAGGGGCAGCCATAGCTCTCTGTTCCCCAAACTGTCCCTGCCCTAAGCTCATTTTCTCCTCCACCTTCCATCTCATTGGATGTCAACCCCATCACTCCAGGTGTCCAAGATAAAAGTACTTGAAGTCACTCCATAGTCATCCTTTCTCTCCCACCACTTGGCCTTCAGGAAGTCCCAATGGATCGTCTTCCCATGCAGATGAAAGTTAGCCACTTCCCACCCCCTCAGCTTCCTGCAGCTTGGTCTGAGCCACACCACCAACCACTGGGTTACTCTCTTACCTGAACTCTCAGCATCAGCCTTGCCCTTTGACCGTCCATCCTTAACAGCAGTCAGAGCAAGTGATGCTTTTAGAACTAAAGTAGGACCATGTCTTGCTCTCCTCAGAGCCCTCCAATGTGCTCCCATCACACTCAGAGTAACTCCACGGTCCTCACACAGGTGCACAGACCCTGTGTGATCTGCGCCAGTTGCCTCCCTCCTTCCCTTTACTCTACTTAGCCTCACAGGCCCCTGTGCTGTTTCTAAATCACAACACACCCACCCCTGCCTCAGGGCCTTTGCACCTACCACCGTTCAGTCTTGAATGCTCCTATGCACACCTGCAGTGTGTGCAGACCTCTCTCAGGTCATTACTCAAAATTCCTCATCAGTGAGACCTTACCCGTGTGCCTCCAAAATGTCAACACACACCCAGCTCCTCCCTGTCTCATTTTATTATTTTCTCCTTTGCATCTGCCATTGTTAATATGTTATGTATTTAGCTCATTTATATTGTATATTATGTATCTTCCCCAATGAAATGAAGCCCACAAAAAAAGGACTTTTGTGGTTTTAATCATTATTATTTTGTTCACAGGAGGTGGTTAATATCCCTATAGATTAATCACAATATTTTTCCATTTGAATGTGTGATTTTTCAATAAATTCTAAACATGCTTTGTGTTCTTTGCTTGTAACTTGGTGGGTTTTTTTGGATAGTCTTTTGAAATTTATATTCCAAAGTTCAAGATCAGTATCAAGGAAGATTATTCTATGTAGAGGTCTCAAGGTGCTTGATCTGCATTTAATAAATCTAAAATTGTATCCGGTCTCACACCACTTTATCCATTTAGACAAATCACTTCTCTCATCACAGTATTCAACCTCACACCTTGTTTTTTCCGTGGCAGAAACTGAATCACTTGTTCCAGACACTTCTACACAACCCATGCTTCAAGCATCATAGTCTTGTCTGTTAGCTTGATTCCTCTCAATTTTTTCCCTGATCCTCAATACATTTAGTTCCAACCGCGATTAACTTCAACACTAGCATGCCTAGTTCAAGTACATTTTGTGGGTCAATAACTCAGATGTTTCTTATTCTCATGATTAAACATTATGCTTATATTAGAATTAACCCAAATTTAATTGTACTGTTTTCACATTACTGCAACTATGCCCAACAGCTATTAAAAAAAAAAAAAAAAGTAATGGCATGATTTTGCTTGGATTTAGAAATTCATTCACCAGAGTGACCCATAATTTGTGTTTGTTAAGGTTAAAATGAAAACATACTCCTATAAGTTCCAGTTCAAATATCACACTGACAAAGTAACACATACGAATCATTCTCAATTTCTAAAAATACATGGAAGGAAGGCTTGAACAAAACAGGTCCACCTAGAACCCCTGGCTTTCGAGGAGCAGTGGCATATGTGATTTCTGTTCTCCTCTTTGCATACGTAGGTGTTTTCAAGATTTTTACAATAAATAGGTAGTTTTTTCACGATCAGAAAAAAAAGCCATTTTTACAAGTTAATAGTACCTAATTCTACACCGTAGAAATCAGCTGAAATTCTCTATTTAAGCAGGATTTCTGAGTCGCTTATACAAACTTACCAGAGTCACTCCTTCATCGTTCTTCTCGTCAACATTTCCACCGCCTGATAAGAAGTGTTTGACATCTGTCAGCATGGCCAGTGGTCTCTGAAGCTTCATCTGTCTCAGCGACGTCAGGTCCACTCCTGGGGGGGAAACAGCCTTTCAAACCAAAGGCAAAGACGCTTCTCAGCCTCTGGGGGTCAACTCTGAATTTAACTTCCTGTTCTTTCAACGGTTCCCCTTTGAAGCCTCTCTTCCCCTCTGAATTCTCACTCAGAGTCTGTATAATTGTTTTGCTCTGCGCGCCTTCTATTCTCAGCTAGAAGACAGTCTTGAATAATTTTCCTCTTATTATACTCCAAAGATGGGACATGCTGCCTTATCCACGGCAGGCTCTCTGTTTCAGTATGTAAATCCCCAAGGGGCATTGCCCAGAGTATTTTAAACTGTTTGAATTGAACTGGAGTTAAAAAATACAGTTTTTTATTCTGTATCATTTCCTGGCCAAAAGAGTTGCTTCCAAAAGAGAGGCGGGTCTCCTGGAGCAGAAAACTGCCTTTGCTGGGAAAAATGGGAACATCTACATAAATCTATGGTTTGGTGAATAGTATTGTACCCACGCTAACGCTGTAGTTGGATCAACACAGCGCGGCTGTGTGGACTGCGGATGTGGGGACCCGGGTGAAGGGGATATGGGGTCCCCCTTAGCTATTTCCACAATGTCCCCATCTATCTCAAAAGCTTTCCAAACGGATTTCAAGAGATGCTCCACTCAAGCATGTCATGACCCTTCGTGTTAACACAGAGGAAGCTAGTAAAGCAGAGTGAAGAGCGGTCCGTCCAGCTTGACCGAGGGGGCGATGGGGCCACCGAGAGCTCAGGCCCGCTCACCGTTGGTCCCTACCTCGGCGCAGCCTTTATTTTTAACCTGAGATTTCAGGATCCTGAATCTCCATGGTAGCTCCTACCTTTGCGTTTACACCTCCTGTTCCCAGTACTGGTTCCTGGACGTAACAGGTGTTTACTAAGGGGAAAGGATCCACCTTCTTCTTAGGGAAGGTAATCCCGATGGTCATGATAATTAGTCAGCCAGTGGTAGCTATGAAGCAGCCGCTCTTCTGAGCTCACTCACTCTCTCTCTCTCTCTCTCTCTTCCACCTGACTGAGTCCTCATGGCAAACGTAGAGGTGGGCAAGACACTGGAGACCAGGGCACCAATGCCACTGGAGCGGTCCCCTTGGTCATGCTCCTCTGTGGCCAACATCTCCCTGGGCAACTCTGGGAAAAGAGTTTAACCCGCCTGACTGTCCACATCCGCAGTCCTTCGGATCATAACATATGTCCCAAGGGAGCAAAGCTACCGGCACTATTTACGGGATCTGTCCACAGGGCAGAGAGCATCCAGCCTGCAGCACACCTGCCGTCCTTTTCCCCTCAGAACCCAGCAGCTCCACCTCGTGGCACAACTCTCACCCAGAGCCTGGCCTCAGAGGTCAGGCTGCCTAGGCTTTAGTGCTGTCTTGTACCTACTTCTAGTGCCAATGGGAGAGGCGAGTTACCCTAAGCCTCACTTTCTCCACCTGCAAAATGGGGCTGATAATTCTGGTTTCACTGGTTATCATGAGGATGAGTTACCAACAACACGGAAAGCACCACGCCCCATATTTGGCTGGTGGGCAGCATTCAATACGCCAGAGGGGTCATTCCTACTCAGCTTTCCGATGCAGGGATTATGGGCCATACATTTTGTGGTGTTTTTCTTCGTCATAAAGAGTCAGGCGAGGACCAAACAAAATAAACAAAATAAAACAAAATGTATTCTTTGAGTAATGTGGGTTGTTTCAAATCCTGCGTCCAAAGCAGAGACAGGAAGGACCACCAATGACCAGCTTTGGAATCTCCACGTGCCATGCTAGAAGCATGAACAGATTTCCCCTAAGAGCTGCTTTGAGGTTTGTTAAGAACCAACTAAAACAATCACTCTCTTCTTATTTTTAGGATGATGAAAGTGAACATGTGAGTTAATTTTGGAAAATATTATTCCTCAAATGTCAGTGTTCAATTCTGCACAGTTGGAGCAGCAGGAGAGTCTGATGGTTACATTATTCTAACTTTTATAACGTGGCCCTGTTTATGGGAGCAGTATGTATCTTTCAGAGGATTACTGAAACACGGGGTTAAAACTGAATGATAGAAGAACAAGGCTCAAAGATAAAAGACAATTAGAAACAGAGTAGAGACCTCACTTCAGCTGACTTACGATGTGTCACGAGAAAGCCATCTATTCTAGCAGTGGTTGTGAAGGAATCAGAGGGGAATATTATGACCTTGTGTCTTATTATTTACAACTTAATTTTGCTTCAAATATGATACCAAATAAAATGTCATTTCGTATTTTCGTTATGAAACATGCAGAAGTCATTTTCAGTAAAAAACAGAATAGAAATTCCCTCTTCTCTGGTCAAGCAAAGTTCTCAAGCTGCTCTATGAGAAAAACAACCAAGACTTATTACGGGCACAATAAGTCTATTCTGTAATGGGCAATGAGCCAAGCCTGCCTCTTTTCCAAAGAAATCAAGTTTCACTTCCACCCTGTTTTCTGAAAAACATTAATAGAAGTCCTGATTAGATTTTTCATTTTGACAGGAATCGTGTAAAATCTTCTCTTTCAGGAAATAAGAAAAACATCATTTGTCTGAAATTCACAAGTGATTCCACGTGATACTAAGTACTGTCACCCTGACCACCCTTGATACTATCAGAAGGCGTTTGCCCAGAACTGAAATCACACTGACACCTCAGGTTAGTCCAAACCCCGTGCTAACTCACCTCCCTAACTGTCCTCCCTACAATAACATTGTTTTTGTAACAATTCCACTTCTCCCTTTCTCCGCTATCCCTTCTTCCCTGGGGTACCGTGCGAGCCCACGTAACTATTGAACCACTGCCCGGTGATGGAGGCCTGGCTTCTCCCAGCTCCTAGAATTCCTAACTCTAGCTTTATCTCCACTGTTAGCTTCCTAAGCTCGCTAAATCCAAGAGTTGAAGGACGCGCTGGGCAGGCGACTAAAGGAAGCTGGTTCTGGCAAAGAGAAAGAAACACGTTCAAGCCCAAAAGGTGTTTGAACCCTGCACCTGATCCCTTTTCCTCGATCCTGACTAGAGGCATCACGTGAGATGGTCCCGGGCCCCCTGGAGCACACTGCCACCCCAGCAATGGGTGATTCCCAGGACGGCGGTGTGGGGACAGCATTCTGAATGAACTCTATCGGGCAGGAGAAATTACACAAGGTCGCTGTGCGCTGGTCAAGCTGGGAGTCCTCTGAAGAACCCTCACGGGGGTAAGGAGTTTCTGAGGTTGTTCCAAAACGAGAAGGCCCAGGGTTTTAACAAAGGCAGAAACAGTGTAACCGGTAAGGGACGTGGACATACCAGAGGGACATCAGGGAAGCAGAATCTATTTGGTGACAATTCCATGTGAGAGATTTAGAAAAGAAAAGTGATGTTCAGATGGTTGGATTCCTGGCTAAAGGGCAGCATAGAATATGGACAGGGCACACAAGGAGAGTGGTAACTCCCACATCGGGCATGTGTTATTTCAAGTCGTCTGATATTCTAGTGTTATTAAACATTGCACAGTGCCAAGCAGAAGGTCTGCTGTGATCTCTGAGCTGGGGTCGGGGTGGGTATTCCTGGGAGCAGGCAGGCAGGTGGGCACAACACAAGGAACAGGGTGACATAAGCCCGACATAGCAGGCAGCGGGATGTGAGAAGAGACTCAGAGACAATAGCTCTGGCAGCATCCACATTCTGGCGTCTGCGTGTACAAGCGGCACATCCAAAAGACACGAAGGGAAAACTCCGGGAAGGTGGAGAAGAGTACGAACGGTCACCGCCACCGCAGGGGAGCGCGGCTGCAGGGAGCAGTGGCGCGCAGGTCACCCAATGGCACGGGGAGCACAGCGCAGAAGGGAGACCTGTCAAGGAGGCAGCGGCGTCTCTGCAGGGACACTGCCAGCAGCGGCAGAAGCTGCGCTGCGGTGGCTCCGGAGAGGAGACCAGGAGCTCAAGGAACCAAGGGGAGCGACCTTCTCTGAAAGGATGGATTTCCCGGGAAGGAGAGAGGGAGCTGGCTGATGAAACGGGCAAACAGGGTGGAAAGCAGACAGTCTTCTGTGCCTTGCAGCCATCGAGGGCCACCCTGTGGCTCCCCCAACCCCCGCAGGGCTTTCTTCCCTTGCGGGAGCATTTTATAATCCTTTGCCTTCTGCGAAACCCAGCGGGTTGGCCTCATCATGCCTTCAAGCAGCGTGCTGCCTCTCGTTTTCCAGCCCGGGGAGCTCAGGCCCTGAGCAGCGATTAGCTGCTGTGCCCTGGAGGGGACAGTGGGGTCGGCGGCCACTGTACAGTCAGAACTTGTGACCAGTGAGTGGTCTTCCATGAAATCAGCTCGCTCCCAACCTCACCTGCCTTCAGCCACACGCATCCCAATGGGATCGAAACCGGGGGACACACACCAAAACCGGGGGTTTCAGTCTGGGTTTCCTGGGTTTCAGGTTTCAGCCTGGAAACCAGGCGACATGCAGCAAAAATTCAAGGACTTGCAGCCACCCGGCTATTAAGAATGCAGTGTGGAAACACCGAGAACCGAGCAATAAGGACCATCTCATCGTGGGATACTCGAAGTGTCCGAGCCTATCGGCCCACGCTGTCATAGCAGATAACTCTAAAAGCACACTGACAAGGGGGCCCGGGAATAAATCGAATGAGACAGTATTCCCGGCAAGGGTGGCAGCCGATAGAGACATGTAGGAGGGACCCCGGCAGGAATGGGGAGCGGAATGAATGACCCGAGGGAGGGCAGATGGACGGGAGGCTCATGCCAGCACCACGGCAGGCGCAAATGGAACACAGAATTTAAAACGGAGGCGACATTAAATGGAATTTGTTCCAGCAAACGTGTGTGTTACAAACCGATTGTGACAGCCCACGTCGTGATGGATTTTCTCCTAACCATTCGGAGTCAATGCCTCCCCCCTCTTCCTTCTCCCTTCATCACATTTAAAATCAACCTCGTGGGGCACCTGGGTGGCTCAGCTGGTCGGGCATCTGGTTCTTGGTTTCAGCGGGTGTCGTGGTCTTGGGGTTGTGGGATCGAGCCCCGTGTCAGGCTCTGTGCTCAGTGGGAAGTCTGCTTAAGGGTTCTCTCTCTCTTTCTCTCTCTCTCATCCTCTGCCTCTGTTCCCCCACCCCGTGCTCATGCTCTCTTTCTCTCACTAAAGAAATGAAAAATAAAAAATAAAATCAACTTCCCAAAGGAATACACTTATTTTTCTTTATAGAGGATAGATAATACTGCTTTTGCAAATACTAAAATTTCTTTTTTTAGTTTTTTTAAGATTTTATTTATTTGAGAGAGAGAGAGAGAGACAGCATGAGAGGAGAGAAGGTCAGAGGGAGAAGCAGACTCCCTGTGGAGCTGGGAGCCCGATGCGGGACTCGATCCCAGGACGCTGGGATCATGACCTGAGCCGAAGGCAGAGGCTTTAACCCACTGAGCCACCCAGGCACCCAGCAAATACTAAAATTTTTTATCAAACAAAATCCTTGGAGGAGCTGGAAAGGCTTATCAGTCAGGTGAGTTCTTTTGCAAAGAAAAATGCTTGATTTTAGTTTTCAAAGAGAAATGTGGGCTGCGGCGGCTATCAGAGCCTCAGAAGAACAGCTGAAAGGTGGAAAGGCACCGGCCCCACAGGTAACGCACAGCCGAGCTCTGCATGCATTCAGAAATGGGCACCACCAGCCCGGGGTGTGCAAAGGTCCAAAAATAAACTTAGCAGCCGTGGGATGTGCAGGACGTCAAGCTTCCCTCCCCTTAGCAGTGACGGAAGCTGTCCCCAACGAGTCACCACTGACAAGAGGATGAAAGACCTGACTGTGACCCTCCAGTAAGGAGCGGGTGAGGAGTGAGGACAAGATCAGGGAGCGGCACCCCTCCCCCCACGCTGCCTCTGTCACCCCAGCCCAGAGACTCTGTGACCTTCAGTAGGACAGCCTGGCTCACGTTGTCCCTAATGAAGATAATGGTACGCATGCCGCTTTCAGAATTAATGAAATAATTTTTTTTAAGAACTCGCTGGCTTCTCCGTACTAATTATTATTATTATTCTAAGCCATTCTCAGAATAAACCTTTTGATACAAGCGATCTGGAGGAGGCAGAGAGGGCAGGGAACAAAGAGGCAGATGTGAGGGCTTTTCTTAGAAGCAAGGGCAGAGTCAGAAGCGCTGTGTGGCTCTTAACATTTTTAAACTTTTTTGCTGACAAAAGATCATCCTTGAAAGGACTGGAGTTTCTTTATTGTTATTTATACCTAAACAGAAAGGGGGAAAAAGAAAACAGAAAGTGGCAGACTTCTCCAGCTTGATGCCATATTGGGTTCAGGATTTCCGATACCTCCCACTTTGCCCATGCTGAACTTACTCATGAAATTATACGTTTAGTCTGTGCAATTAAACATTCTTTGTCAGGGGACATGGCTGGGAGCTTGGGCTCATCTCTTCAGGCTAGCACCGCCACCGAGGCACCTGCTTCCAATACGGTACTCCCAAGCCCCCAACAGTGGCGCTGGGAGGCTGTGCGGGCTGCCCTCGACTTAAGCCCTTGCTCACGGGCGTGTCCTTCTTGCAAGGACCACGGGCTCCTGCGACGACAGACTTCAGATGACCAGCCTCTCATGAACTCAACATTCAGTTGTGTGGGTTCACTTTTGCCCCTCCCAGTGGAGAACAGGTTATAATCACAAACCCAGTCCCACTCAGTACAGGCTTCAGACACTTGTTAAAATGTCCCTTCACTGCTGGCCTCCAGATGTCTGCAACCTTGCAAAATGGCACTGACTAAACCAACAACGATCACGGTGGGAACAGCGAAAGGTTCCATGGAAAGAAGGACTTCACGTCACGCAGTCTGGGGAAAGCTCGTCCGTCTGCAGTCACGTAAGCTCGCCTAAAGATTAAACACGCACTGGTAATTCTACCACGCGGCCCTTCGATCTTTCTTCGGCTTCTCAAACACCCGCCTACCATGTTCATCCAGATAGGTCAGCAGGATGAAGCTGGATTCCGTCCCCTCTACGGCGTAATCCAACGGGATATTTCCATTGACATCCTGGAGAAGGACGTCAGCTCCAGCCTGTGAGTGCAGAAGAACAAACAGAACGTGACGGATACTGTTAGCAGAGGAAGCAGATCAAAACTCTCACTTCTAGGCTAGGCGGGACACAGGCACAGGAAGTCTGTGGCAGATACGACCCTGGAGAATCGCAGGAAACCGTGATTACATTGCAAGAAAAGTATAGCAGTTACTTTCTGAGAAACTCCAATAAGGCTAAAACCGTTCAACTGACTTTTGCAAAGGCCTTAGTCCTGACTACTTCCCCCAGCCCCTCTCGCTAAACCCCGATTTCCAGCCCATGACCACGAAGCCAACCCCACCTTGTCATTTGCCTTGTTTCTGACACAGCAGAAACTCCCCGTGCCTGCAGAGTCATGTGGAGAACTTTTCTATGAACTTCAACCCATCTTCCCCAGACGATCATATAAGCCCCTCAAGGCCCTTGCTCTCTGTGGAAAGTCATCTGAGAGCTTTTCTCCCCTACCATGTTTTAATAAAGGCTTCGACTAATGGCTTCTGGCTGTTTGTCTTTTTCTTTTTTTTCTTTCTTTTTTTCCTCCTTCCAGAAACTATTTTCTGAAAAAAGCACCATCTGTAGATATCAATGGATGAAGTGTATTAAATATGGCCATGACAGTTCATTCAGCTCCAAAGCAGCCTTCGTCAGGCACCTTGGAGGATGCCTGTCCCCCCCGGCCCCCACCCCCACCACCCATCCCAGCTGAATACAATGACAGATGTACTTGCCCTTTGAAAAAAAGTTGCTCACGTAAATCTTTAATGAGCTCCATAAAATTTACCAGGCCTGCTTTGCATCTTTTCTTCAAGGGCATGGCGTGACCACGTCCCCACTGACCAAGGCTCCCCGTTCACCTCACGAGTCACGGAACTCAGGTCAGGGAAATGGAAGTCTTCCCCTATTCCCTTCACCGAATACAATTCTATGCTGTGATGTTACTGAAGTTCACATACTCTCTGAATTCCTAACGTGACATGAAAAGGTGTGTGACATTCATAATCTTATACACCGAAATGGGGGCTTTTCGCCTTCTGTTATTCGAGACCTGTATTAAAAAAACAGCTTTCCTATACCTTACCGAGTCCACACAACGTTTGCAAAGGACTGCTCTAAGTATCCTGTGAGGACAAAGCTAAAAGTAGATTCCAGTGGCAAAACCATGTCTATCTCGCTGTCTTGCCTGCAGAGAACTATGCCATTCACCTCCCCACCCAGAGTACACCGCATTCTATTTTCTGTAATCATATAAAGCTACTCCTGTATTTGAACATATTAGGTTCTATAATGCAGGTTTTCACTTGGCTAAGGAAGCAAGTAAGTTTAACGTCCTTAAGACTTCAAACAATCTTCTTGGTGCATTTAATTTTTTGAAGTTATTCAGAGTTTGAAAAGTAGTCACTTGAGGCAATACCGTGAAGCAGACTCTGCTAATGAGTCTTCTCCTTTACTGTCCACGCAGGAGAGGAAGATTTTGCATAACTACTCAAGTGTCACTTGTTAATGAACCAATTAGGAGAGAGGGAACTGCAGGGTGTCCTTGTCGCCTTCAGCCCTCACAAGCAGATGTCAATCATTCCCTTTTTCCCCAGTGCATTGATGTTCCAGCTAGAATCTTATCTCTGCCAAACATCTGCATACAAGGCAACAGTGACTATACCTGTTGAACACAAGAGTCATGTATCATCAGTAACAACAAAAAGAAGTAGGAGGACAGCCTGGTGTTGAGGAGGTTGGTGCACTTGGAGAGAAGGCTTCCTACTCTTCTCAGAAGTAGTGAGGCTCCTTCAAAGCAAGTCTGAAACAGACACCTGCTGCTCACTATTTCAGCTGGGCTGTTCATGGCAATTCCAGCCCATTCATCACTCACCAGTCCGTGCTGCGCAGTCACCTGGTGTCCCCCTGTAGTGAAGGGAGTCCTCCCTGGGGTGGGAAACTTCCCTCATCAAAGACCACAGCTTAGTCCCCGTTATGTCTCCCACTTACTATTGTGCCTGGCCCATGTTAGACACTAAAAAAGGTTTACTGGGGGGAGGGGGGAGGCAAAAGTGAACTTAGACTAATTATTAAAAATTAAGGCAGAGAACTATAATTTTCATCATTTTGAACTAAATTTCCTGACCTTTATTTTATGGGTTCTTGAATAAAATTACAAAATCACTACATGCATTTGTACATTTCCTGCCTTTGCTCTTTTGGGTGGATATTTGTGACCCTCCCTTCCCTCTTGCCTTCCTTCCTCTCTCCTGCTGTTTCTTCCTTCCTTCCTCCCTTCCTTCTTCCCTTTCTTCCTTCCATCCTTCCCTCTCTCCATCTCCCTCTTCCCTCTCTCCCTCTTTCTCCCCCTCTTCTTTCTTCCACCACTGGACAGGGTGAGAGTGCCCCAAGTGCAGGGGGGTCCTGGTGCTGGGCCCCCTCCCCACTGACCATCTGGTCTTGGGAAAGGGCCCCAGACAGGCTGAGCTATGTGCAGTAAGAACATTGGTCCCCATGGATCCCCTGAGAAGTTGTGTATCTGGAATTGTACACCTATTAAAGAAAACAAAAATGGAAAAAACCACCATTGATAAGTTTCGCGACTGGTTACCATTCTTAGCATGACTGGCTCAAGCATTAATATGCACTTTTAGTTGTTAATGGATCCCACTGGAACGGAGGGCTGAGGGCTTGCAGAGTAAGACTTCTTCTCAAAATGTCAGAGATCTGCCTCAAGACCATCAGGATGGTCCGATTTCCAGCATACAGAAAGGAAAACGCCCATGGGGTTGGGAATTAGTAACATTTATAACGCATTGTGCCAGTACTTGTTTTTTTAAATATTTTGAGCCACCCAGTAAGATGAATTTTCTCAGTTTTGCAAAGTGAGAGCCAATAAGTCATTTGCTAAAAATACCCCCTTTGCATTGTCCCTCTTTAATATGAAATTTGAAAAATTATAAAAGTATATATGTTCTAAAATATCTTTCCCTTCCAGACATGATATTCTTAAATACTTCTTTAAAAAAAAAAAATTCTTATTACATTTCAAATTTCATTCCACGGGTGCTAAGAGTCCACTAAACAGTTTCTCAGCACCGAATATCAAAGCCAGAGAGAAGGGCTCCTGAACTGGGCCACATATTAATTACAGTGTTTCCGTGGATACGGGGCTCACTATTTTCAGTACAGAATGTGGGCGCCGACAGCAAACATGAACTTCCATTTCCCCGTGTGTGCCGGTGTGTGCTTTTCACAGCGCACACCGCGGTTTCATGCCGGGGCAAGAGAAGCAGGACAAGGCCAGGGTTTTAGGCTAGACTTTTAAACACAGGACAAAGATGTCCAAGGTTGTACCTACTCTGTGATATAAGAACAACTGTCTAAGCCATCACGACGTGCTTTCCAAAGCTCAAACAATATTTTAAAATAACTGGATGCTGTACTTTATCAAAACAGATGGTTTAGGAACTGGCTGTGTAAAGGGATAGCCAGAATGAGGAGAGATGGTAGGCACACATTCCTTCTCATTTATATCCAGGGCCCGGAGCACCCCGAGCCCTGGGAAGCATGTGTGTGAACTCAGGCACGTGTTAGTGTGTGCACGCGGGCACGTGTGTGCAAAGCCTCTTCCTAGCTCTACTTTCCTAAGCCTGATCACCAGGCGGCCCCATTTCCTATACTAATTGTCGTCACTGTCCTTTGTCTTCCTCAAAGAATGCTCATGTTAAGAAAAACTTGCATTGTGAGAACAGCTCAACCAGAATGTTATCCTTGTGCAGCGCAGACCGTGAGGCATGCCCTTCAGTTTGGCCTCAAGACAATCAATCACATCGTGATGGATATTCAGGAGGGAAATGAAAGTATTCGATGTTCTCTATGCAAAATCCCGCTCCTCAAATACTTCCGTCAGTTGAGGACTGGACGTTTCCTACAGGAAGCCCCGGGCACATTTTCTCTAAGGAAGGCCACCCAACCTCCGGCCTGTCCTAACCTATGGTCCTTGGTATTGGAAATGGAACTCAAATATACCACTCCCCCGCCCGCCAGATAGGAACCTTATTTACTGCCTATCCGATGACATATGAACCCATAAGGGCACCTTTCCTGTAAATAAACACTGTATCGGTTGCTTTATGTTACAATTTAATGTCAGTGAATATACTCACCACGTCTTTCATTCAGTAATAATTCTCTAACACATTAATACTGGAATTTTAATGAGAGGCACATGATGGCATCTTAATTAAGTAAGCAAATGCCACTTTTCATAGGCTAACATTTTCTGGTAACTCTATTTTGATGCAGTTTCACGTTTAATTAAAGTTGCAAGAACAGTACAAAGAGGTCCTGTGTACCTGCTGGGGGTTGAATGGCATCCCCTCTTGCCCCCCACCTGCAGAAACACCGAAACCGTAATCCCTAGTAGCCGTGAAGGTGGACTTACTTGGAAACGGGATGGGTGCAGACTTAACTAGCTGAGTTAAGATGAGGAGCCCCGGGGACACACACGCAGAGGGAAGGTGGCCACGTGAAGACAGAGGCAGAGATGGGGACCACGCAGCCAACGGCCGAGGAACACCGGGTGGCCCCGAGAGCTGGGCCAGATAAGGTAGGAGCCTCTTCTAGAAGCTACAGAGGGGGCACGGCCTTGCTGACACCTTGTTCAGACTCCTGGCCTCCAGAACTATGAGGCCGTAAATTTCTGTTGCTTTAAGCCCTTTAGTTTGTGGTATTTTATTATAGCAACCTTAGGAAACTTATACTCGGCCCTTTACCCAAATTCACCAATTTATACTTTACCCTTATTTTTGCACTCTCTCTCTATTTTTCCCGAGTCTCTCTTTTTAAAGATCGATTGATTTGTGAGAGAGAGAACGAGAGGGAGAGGGAGCACATGTAGGCACAAGAGCACGGGGAGGGGCAGAGGGAGCGAGAGAATCCCGCTTAGACTCTGAACTGAGCACAGAGCCTGATGAGGGGTTCGATCCCACAGCCTTGAGATCAGGAACCAAAACCAAGAGTC